TTTTTTTTTCCGTTTGTCCATCACTGTCATAGATTTTCCTATTTTGAGTCATGCTGGTATTCCTCAAAGTCTACTTGGTCATGTTTTTTCTTTTTAAAGATACCATTGAATTTGGTCACCAAATATTTTTAAATGTGAATACATATTGATAAGCAAAATGGAACTATTTTCATTTTTATCTGGTTTGGGATCAACATTACATCAGCCTTATAAGTTATTAAGATAGCTGCCCTGGCTTTTCTTTCCTATTTGGCATTTTTGTTTTGTTTTTGGTAAGTTTTTACTGAGATAGAATTCATTTATTAAAAGTGTACAATTCAATGGTTCCTAGTATTTCATAGTTGTATAACTACCACCACAGTCACTTTTAATACCCCCTCAAAGAAATCTCAAACCCTTTAGCTGTCGCCCACCAATCATCCCATCCTTCCCCCTCCTCCCAGACCAAGGTAACCTCTGACACATGTTCCTTCCCTATAGATTTCACTATTTTGGCCATTTCATATAAAGGAAATGGTTCAATATATGGTCTTTTGTGGCTTTTACTTAGCATGTTTTCAGGATTCATCCAAGTTGTGGCATGTATCAATATCAGTATTTTGGGGCTGGGTGTGGTGACTCATGCCTGTAATCCCAGCACTTTGGGAGGCCGAGGCAGCTGGATAATTTGAGGTCAGGAGTTTGAGAGCAGCTTGGCCAACCTGGTGAGACCCCATCTCTACTAAAAATACAACAATTAGCCAGGCGTAGTGGTATGCACCTATAATCCCAGCTACTTGGAGCCTGAGGTAGGAGAATCGCTTGAACCTGGGAGGCAGATGTTTCAGTGAGCTGAGATTGTGCCACTGCACTCCAGCCTGGGTGACAGAGTGAGACTCCGTCTCAAAAAAAAAAAAAAAAAAAAATTCATCCATTTTTATGACTGAGTAATATTCCACTGAATGGATATACCACATTGTTTGTTTTGTTTTTTTCACAGCCAATTTTCATACTGTTGTTTCACATTCTCACAGCCCTCAGCACATGCCACATCCCAGCCCAGCTCTGGGACTTTGGTTCAGGGCTCAGAGCCTCTGGTCTGGGCTGATCGAAAACCTCCTTTGATCCTGTGGCAGTAGGTGGACCTTGGCTCTGCTCGTCCCTACTCAGAGCTCAGGGCAGTGCCCCATGCAGCTGCCCCACTTCCACGAAGACCTCCACGCGGCAGTCAATGTCTTCCTTATTGTGCACTGCTGAGATCTGTACCCAGATCCGGGCCTTGCCCTTGGAGACCATGGGGTAGCTGAACCCAATGACAAAGATGCCTCTCTTCAGCATGTCATCCGCCATGCGAGAGGTCAGCTGGGCATCACCCAGCATCACAGGGCGGATAGGGTGACTGGCTCCCGAGACTGTGAATCCAGCAGCTTCCATCTTACTACAGAAACACTGGGTCTTGGCAGCTATAGAGTGGATGATGGTGTTGCTCTCCAGGAGCAGATTTAGGGCCTTGGAAAGGCAGCCAACAGCAGCAGGTGGCAGACTGTTAGAGAAGAGGTAGGGCCGGGCGGCAGCAGGAACACCAGGGGCCCATGCCCTGTCGTGTAGCCCCCTGTTGCTCCACCCAGGGCCTTCCCCAGGGAGGAGTTGATGATGGTGACCTGGCCCATCACGTCCAACAGCTCATCTGTGCCACCTCTTGTGGGTCCCAGGAAGCCAGTGGCATGGCATTCATCCACAAAGACCAGGGCGTCATGTCTAGAGGTGAGGCGGCAGATCTCCTGTGGAGGTATGCTGTCGCCATCCATGAAAAAGGCCCCATCGGTGGCCACCAGGCGCAGCCGATGCTTCTGGGCCTCCTGCAGCTTCTAGGTCGGCCACGTCCAGGTGGCAATAGCGGTTACTTGTGGGCCTTGCACAGGCGGATGCCGTGGATGATGGCGGCATAGTTCAGCTCGTCCGACAGCACTGCGTCCTCAGGGGTCAGCAGGGCCTCAGAGGCCGGCATTGGCGTCACAACAACTGGAATAGAGGATGCCATCCTCCCGCTGGTGGAAGCGGATTATTTTTGCTTCTAGATTCTTGTGGATGCTTTGGGTTCCACGGACGAAGCAGACAGAGCTAAGGCCAGCTCCAAAGAGCCTTCAGACCTGCCTGAATCACCTCGGGGTGGCTGCTCAGGCCCAGGTAGTTGTTGGCACAGAAGTTGAGGATTCCTCTGGAGACGCCGTCCACGCGGATGTGCGGCCCCTGACGGGCCCTTGATGACCCGCTCACTCTTCCAGGTGCCAGCTCCGCGGATCCCTTCCAGCTCCCCCTCTAGAATGCCGCGCAGCTGGGCCAGCGCTGACTGCGCGCCGCCCCGCAGGGCACTCCGGAGAGCGCCCTGCACCAGACGTTCCCAGCCCACATTGCTCCTACCTCGCCAGAGCGCGCCTGCCTGCCCGAAAGCCGTGCGCACTGCCCACATTGTTTGTCCATTCATCTACTGATGAACACTTGGATTGTTTCCACCTTTTGGCTAGTATGAATGTTACAATGAACACTCATGTCCAAGTTATTGTGTGGACATACGTTTTCAATTCTTCTGGGCATATACCCAGGAATGGAATTGCCAGGTCAAATGGCAATCGTACAATTGCTTGAGGAACTTCTAGACTGTTTTCAGCTCCACCATTGTACATTCCCACCAGCAGTGTATAAAGGTTCTAACTTCTCCACATCTTTAGAAGACACAATTTTTATTACTATTATAGCCACCTAATGGATGTAAAGTGTTTTGGTTTGCATTTCTCTGCTAATGATATTGAGTATCTTTGCATGCGCATACTGGCCATTTGTATACCTTCTTTGGAGAAATGTCTATTCAGATCCTTTGATCAATTTTAAAATTGGGTTGTCTTTTCAATATTGAGTTTTAAGATTTCTCCATAGTTCCTTATCTATGATTTGCCAACATTTTCTCTCATTCTATGGGTATTCTATGGGTTAATATTCTATGGGTTAGTAGTCTATGGGTTGGTGCAATTACTTTTGTACCAACCTATCTTTCTGAGGGTCTCTTTTAATTGGTGAGTTAAATCCACTTATACTATTTACACTGTTCTCCACATGGTCAAATGCACTGGGTAACCTATAAGTTGATTTTTCTCCCTGGAAAGCTCCCTCCTGACATCCTCTGTCCTGCTCCAATCTGGACTGAATACTCTAGTGCTGCAAAGCTGTTATCTTGCCACAATGCTGGGTTGGTTCCCTGATTTTTGCTATCTCTGCTCTTCCTTGATTTACTTCCTTAATTTCTGTAGAGTATATCCTTCAGCAGCCTTTGAAAAAAATGGCATGGAGAGTAAAGTTTGAGATTTTGTGCCTGCAATGTTTTTAACTTCATGCGTGAAGACAGCCTGATTGGTCATAGAATTACTGTTTCCTGGGTTTGGTCAATGAGAGTTTGGTTACAAATGGATACTTTGTTAGCTATATCAATTTGGTTCCTGAGGTTCAGAGAACTAGGAAATATTTATTTGACAAGGGATATCTCAAAAAATTTATCATCTATTTACTGCATGAGTTTGGAGAGCTGGAAATTCAAATAGGTAGGAATCTGTCCTCAGAACTCTGAAGGCATTGATCCACCATCTTTTGTCATCCAGATTTGCTAATGAGAAGTCTAACACAAATGTAAATCCGTTCCTAAGTGATTTTTTTTCTGGACACTTGCAGGATTTTCTGTTTACTCTGGGGGTTCTGAAACTTCACAGTGCTATGCCTTGATGTGGATCTTTTTCATTCATTACACTTGACACTCTGCTATGCCTTTTAATCTAAAGATTGAAGTTCTGGAATAGCCACTGTATTAGTCCATTTTCACACTGTAAAGAACTGCCCAAGACTGGGTAATTTATAAAGGAAAGAGGTTTAATTGACTCAGAGTTCAGCATGGCCGGGGAGGCCTCAGGAAACTTACAATCATGGAGGAAGGCAAAGGGGAAGCAAAGCACCGTCTTCACAAGGCTTCAGGACAAACAGTGAGGAGTTAAGGGGCCAGAGCCCTTTATAAAACCATCAGATCTTGTGAGAACTCACCCACTATCACAAGAACAGCATAGGGGAAACCAACCCCAGGATCCAATCACCTCCCACCAGGTCTCTCCCTAGACACATGGGGATTATGGGGATTACAATTCCAGATGAGATTTGGGTGAGGATGGCCGGGGGCGGTGGCTCACACCTGTAATCTCAGCACTTTGGGAGACTAAGGCGGGTGGATCACAAGGTCAAGAGATCGAGGCTAGCCTGGCCAACATGGTGAAACCCCATCTCTACTCAAAATACAAAAATTAGCTGGGTGTGGTGGCACACGCCTGTAGTCCCAGCTACTCGGGACGCTGAGGCAGGAGAATCACCTGAATGCGGGAGGCAGAGGTTGCAGTGAGCCGAGATTGTGCCACTGCAGTCCAGCCTGGTGACAGAGAGACTCCATCTCAAAACAAAAACAAAAACAAATTTAGGTGAGGACACAGACAAACCATACCAGTCATTTATGTTATTTCTAATAACCCACTGCCTCCATTTCTATTTTAACTTTTTTCACTTTCTAAAACTGTTAGTCTGGTTTTAGACCCCTATATTTATCTTCTGTGGCTTTCATCTTTTCTCTTTGTCTCTTTCAGCTCCATTTTCAGGAGTATTTTCTCACCCGCATCTTCCAACACTATTAATTACTTTTGAATTTTAAATATTTTTAATTTTAAAAAGCCCTACTGTTTTGATACTGCTTCACTTCCAATTGTTTTATGAATGCAATTTCTCCAGATATCTTTCAAACTAATTCTTTCATTCACTACATAGCACTGTCTTGTATTTTAAAGATTCTGAAAAACACAATTTTTTAATGCTTATGTAGTGCTACATCAAAACATCAATGTACTGAAGATTTTAAGCAGCATGCAGCATCATCAGATGTTTTTGTTTCTTCCCCCTCATTTCCCCACCCCTACCAGATCTGTTTTTGATGTTTAGCCTAGAAGTAGCAAGAAGGATGAACTAAAGCAGATTAGGGATCGAGCTGGTAATCCAGGTGAGAAATAATGAGTCTTCTCTAAGGTAATAGTGGTGAGGTAAAGGCAAAAGGATAGCTGACAAACGTTAGGAGGTGAAATGGCACAGGACTTGGTGAAAAACTGGTTAGGCGAAGAGGGAAGAGAAAAGTCCAGGTTATCCTTAAATTTATGGTTTGGACAACAGGAAGAATAGGAATTTCTCCAAGTCGAGTCCTATTATAAACATTTTCAGTTTTGTATTTCACTTTGAGTCTCAATCTACCAAGATAACTTCCTTTCAATCAGCAAAACACCTGTTTACTACTTACTAACAATATTAAAGATGCAAATATTTACTAAACATATTTTTCTCATTTTACATACATGCCTATCATTTTATTTCTAAAAAAGTTTAATTCTATTTACTCATTAAAATACTTACATTTAAATACTCCAACATAATACATTAGGTGTATTAAATATATAGATGCTCCTCAAATGAAGAATATAGTCTGATCTGGTTTTATACACAATAACGACAATTTAAAATGTAAAAAACTGGGCTTAAAAAATGCAGCCAACCACCTGTTTTACTAAGTTTTACCAGGTATCTCCTTCTAAAAATTCCTTATCAGAGCTATTTCTTTAAACCCAACATTTACTACATTAACAGATGGGTTCTTTAAATGAGAAATTTTACTTTCAACTCACTGATTTTATACTTAGAGGCTTTAAAATTTTTTAGAATATGTGAAGACCGGAATTAAACCATTCTCCTTGTATTTTTCCCGGACTGTTTGCTAACTGCTTGTTTTTACATAAAGCTTTAAACATGTCTACCATGGGTAGTAAACAAAAAGGACTACTTGAAACTATAAAACCTACCAAAGTGTCAAATGCATTATCACTGCTTTTTCCTTCTTTTATAAGAATCATTACTATGAACTCGTACTCGTTGGTGCACAGAGGATGCTATTTTCATGCTCTCTTTCTTAGTAAAGGTCTTCTCTATAGCTCCAGGTTTCCAAAGTAACAACTGTGCATCTTCTCCTCCAGTCAACAAAGAATCATCTTGCACATTCCAACAGAAAGAACGGACTGTAGCAGCATGCCCTCCCTGAAGGCTAGTCACATGAGTCAGTCCTGACGTGCTGCAGTTCATCAAGTGAATCCTTCCTGTGTTTGTTCCTCCAATAACATGCAATGTGTCTGTCTTTTCATGGTACAGGCCACCAATCAAATAGTCCAAAGAATCTTCTTTCATGTTAACTGCCTCTCTGACATCCTGGATGTTCAAACGTGTAACTGGTTCATCAGTATCCAGATGATTAAGATCCCACCAATAAAATCCTTCATCATGTGTCATGCAGTAAATCTGTTTATAACCTTTCCCAGACCAACCAATACAGCTTACTGATGAAACTGAGTTACAGGTTGTAACCAGTGCATCCTCCTCATTATCAACATTAATATCAAATACATTTACCAGGCCATCAGATGAACCTGAGACTACCATGTTGGGATTGCTGGGATGGAAACGTACTTGAGTGACATCATCACTATGTGTCTCTGAATATGCACCAAGTGGGTCTTTAGTTGTAGATAAATCCTGAGAATTCATCCTTGCATCCCAAAACACCAACAATGCATCATCATCAACTTTTTCTGTACCAGCACAAATAATATGATCATTACAATTAATATCAAAACTGATAAAAATATTGGAAGGGTAACCCTTGAAGAGCTGAACAGGTTTTTCTCTGGCTACTCGAGCATCCCAACATTTCACAGTGCCATCAGTACATGCTGAATATACACTATCACAGGAATTTGCAAATCTGACTCCATTAAGAAGTCCAGGATATCCACTAAATTCTCGTAGTACATTTAACCTTTCTTTATCATATATTCTGATTGATCCATTAGAACATAAAACAGCAGCCAAGTTTTCCGTTCCTGCTTGGACAGTCTTTGATGTGTCTATACCAAGAAGGTAAGTGGGCTCTTTGGTTCCTGAGGAAGATTTAACAATGTGCAGATTAGCAAACTGTTCCTCAATCTTTTCCATATCAACAGCAGCATCCAAGGGTAGTAAAACTCTGTAAAAATAAATAAATAAATAAATAAATAAAAATTAATGCTTAACAATGGAGATACATAAAAAATTTTAACCTGAAGTTTCTCTAAAATTGCAAATAAATCAAGAACATTTTCCTCTGAGGGCTGGCATGAATCAATCAATCAATAGAAATGTATTCTATAATCATTTCTTTACTATGATGTAACTAAAACTCAGTTGCCTTCTAATTCAATCACTCTTTAATACTGAATTTACTGCCAGGAGTGGTGGCTCACACCTGCAATTTCAGCACTTTGGGAGGCGAAGGCAGGAGGACTGCTTGAGGCCAGGCATTAGACACCAGCCTGAACAACAAGGTAAGACCCCTGTCTCTTCAAAAACTAAATTAGCAGGGCATGGCGGCCTATGCCTGTAGTCCTAGCTACTCAGGAGGCTGAGGTAGGAGGATTGCTTGAGACCAGGAAGTTGAGACTACAGTGATCCATGATCATGTCACTGTCCTCTAGCCTGGGGAATGAAGTGAGACCCTGTCTCAAAAAAGAAAAAAAAAAAAAAAATGCTGAATTTACTATATATATTTTATGCTAGTAAGAGAATAAAAAGCATGTGCATATACACCACCCAGCAGTTCTTTTTAGCTCAAACCCAATTACTGGTTCTACTCAAGTCATCCTCAGCATTGGCAAGCATCTCCACTTCGGAATAATCTTCTCCTGGCCCCAGCTGCCTTACACAACTTTAGAATTTAAACATAGATTTGGGCGGGGGGGGGGAAGTTTCCCAAAAATGTTCATGCCTTAATCCCTGGAATCTGTGAATATGGTTACAAAGGAAAACTGAAGTTGCACATGGAATTAAGGTTGCTAATCAGCCTAATTTAAGGCTAACCTTAAAATAGGGAGATTATCCTATATTATCTATTATCACCCCGGCCCAATATGGTAACAAGTGTCTTTAAAAGTGGAAGAGGGAGGCAGAAGAGTCAGAGGAAGAAGTTCCCATAGAAGGCAAAGACACAGAGAGATACAATGTTGCTGGTTTTGAAGATAGAGGCTGAGGGTGGCCTCTAGAAACTAAAAAGCAAGAAAAGATTTTCCTCTAAGCCTTCAAATGGAAATGCAGTCCTGTTGACATCTTAATTTTAATTAAGCCCAGTGACATCCATTTTGGACTTCAGACCTCCAGAACTGTAAGATAATAAACTTATGTTATTTAAACAACTAAGTTTGCAGTAATTTGTTATAGCAGCAATAGGAAATGAATACAACAGAGGTTCCCAGTATAGAATCCCGGAGAAGTGCTTCTAAGGCAGTAGCAGCTTGCCATGGTAGAACTGGGATTTGATCCTAGGCATTCTGGCTTCAGGCTTCACGCACTGTGCTCTAAACCACCATACTAGACTGCCTCTCCAGGGTGGGCTGTATGTAGGACAAGTTCAAGGTCAGAAAAACATGCATGCCTAGTAACACTATCATAAATCCTTCTATTGTGCTTTCTCATCAATGAATATTCTTTCTAGCCTGTGTAACAAATTCATTTTCATTCTTAAGACGAAATGTTTTTTCTGTTGCTTTGGTGATATCTTCTTAAGCATCTGTCTTTTCATCTTTAAAAGGAGAAATGCGTACTAACTCAAGAACTGTTAGGAAGATTAATGCATGCCATGTGTTCTGCACAACGTCTGGCATATCATAGTACATACACAATAGATGTAATAGGCCAGGCGTGGTGGCTCATGCCTGTAATCCCAACACTTCTGGAGGCCGAGGCAGGGATCACTTGAGGTCAGGAGTTCGAGACCAGTCTGTCCAACATGGTAAAATTCCGTCTCTACTAAAAATACAAAAATTAGCTGGGCGTTGTGGCACACACCTGTAATCCAGCTACTTGGGAGACTGAGGCAGGAGAACTGCTTGAGGCAGAGGTTGCAGTGGGCCAAGGTCACACCACTGCACTCCAGCCGGAGCAACAGAGCGAGAATCTGACTAAAAAAAGAAAAAAAGAAAAAAAAAGATAGCTGGACACGGTAGCTCACACCTATAATCCCAGCACTTTGGGAGGCCGACATGGGCAGATCACCTGAGGTCGGGAGTTCAAGACCAGTCTGACTAGCCAGGTGTCGTGGCACATGCTGTAATTCCAGCTACTTGGGAGGCTGAGGCAGGATAATCACTTGAACCCAGGAGGCAGAGGTTGCAGTGATCCAAGATCACACCATTGCAGTCTAGCCTGGGCAACAAGAGTGAAACTCCATCTCAAAAAAAAAAAAAAAAAAAAAAAAAAAAGATGTACTTTAGTAAGTTGGATTTGGGTTTATTATTATTATTATTATTATTATTATTATTATTATTATTGTATTTTTAGTGGAGATGGGGTTTCACCGTGTTAGCCAGGATGGTCTCGATCTCCTGACTTCGTGATCCGCCCGCCTTGGCCTCCCAAAGTGAGCCACCACGCCTGGCCTAGATTTGGGTTTAAAATAGAAATAGAAATAAAATAGAAATAAGCATTCCCCCTAACTTTTAATTTTCAACATTTATTTTTACTTATTTTTTTCCTTTGGAGATGGCATCACAGCTCATTAATTTTCAACATTTATAAGTGCACACACACAAAAAGCTCCAATGCACAGACACAGTTCACCTTCTAGGTTCACTGTTAGCTTCTTGCCACATTTGCTTTCTCTCTCTCTACACACACACACACCCCGCCCCCCCACTGCTTTTTAAAAATGAACCCTTTGATGAGAGTTAGCTGCAGACAAAATATCACTCCATTCCTAAATACTTCACCATAACAGCATCTCTCCAACCTTCTGTTTTTCATGTCATGGAATTTTTTGAATATCCTATTCTCTCCAACAACTTTCATCCAAAGAGTTCAGGATCTATTGATTGTTCTTGCCTGAATCAATGATTATGCTAGAATCTGCAAAACAGTCATTTTCTAATTCTATCATTCTTTCTACCTCAGCAGGCATTCTTCTAAAAACAAGAGCTTTTTTCCTTTCTCTATTTCTTTGACTAGGAAATCATGATTCTTAAAAATTGTGTATCACAACCTATTGCTTTGTTGCTTTTTGATGCTCAAAGTGTCTGGACTTGGCCATTAAGACCCTTCAAGCCAGCTTCTGTAGCCTTTTGACAGGACCCCATCAGTCTGTAAACCCTACATGAGAAACTCCATGGAAGCATTAGGTAGCTCTAAAAATGGTGTGCTTCCCTCAACTTAAGTATTCAGACATGAAATGACCATTTTCCAGTAATGCTGGGGTAGTCACCTCCACAGCTGCTGAGGTAACTAGAACAGTTCTGTGGTTTTCCCGCCAGATGAAATGGCCTTACCTTGAACACGTCAGGTTTGCTCCTGCCTCAGGACTGCGGCAACAGCTGTTTGCCTGGAGTATTCTTTTTTTTTTTTTTTTTTTTTTGAGATGGAGTCTCGCTCTGTCACCCAGGCTGGAGTGCAGTGGTACGATCTCCGCTCACTGCAAGCTCCGCCTCTTGGGTTCACACCATTCTCCTGCCTCAGCCTCCGGAGTAGCTATGACTACTGGTGCCCGCCACCACACCCAACTATTTTTTTTTGTATTTTTAGTAGAGACGGGGTTGCCTTGTGTTAGCCAGGATGGTCTCGATCTCCTGACCTTTTGATCCGCCTGCCTCGGCTTCCAAACTGCTGGGATTACAGGCGTGAGCCACCGCGCCCGGCCTGCCTAGAGTATTCTTTCCCTGCATGTCTGCATGAGTGACTCCTTCCTGTTATCCAGGTCTTAGCATATATCACCTGCCCAGAGAGAGTCTCTCCCCCACCAATCAACGTGAAGAAGCCCCTGTCATTTCCTATCACATCCTTATCCTGTTTCATTAAAAATTAAAAATGCTGGCCAGGTGCAGTGGCTCATTCCTGTAATCCCAGCACGTTGGGACGGCAGGGCAGGCAGATTGCTTGAGCCCAGGAGTTCGAGACCAGCCTGGGCAACAAGGCTAAACCTCATCTCTACAAAAAATCCAAAAATGAGTTGGGTGTGGTAGTGCGCACCTGTAGTCCCAGCTACTCAGGAGGATTGCTCGAGCTCAGGAGGTGGCAGTTGCAATGAGCCAAGATCATGCCATTGCACTCCAGCCAAGACAACAGGGTAAGACTCTGTCCCCCAAAAAAAAAAAAAAAAAAAAAAAACGACAAACAAAATTTAAAATGTTTAATTATGAAGTATTTCAAATGTACAAAGGTGTAGAAAAAAGTATAACAGACACCCAAATACGTACCACCAATACTTAACAAATATTAATACAACAAATATTAATACTTTTTACTCTATCTGCCTCAGTTTAACAAAATGGAACATTACAGACACAAGTAAAACACTTCACTCCAATAAAGAATTTAGAATACTGGCACCACATTTATGTGTATCTTTCTTGCAATTTGCTCTTTTCACTCAATATAATTTTTAAAAAGTCCTGTTTTAGTGGTGAACTTATTACCTGACTCTTGCTTATTGGTTAATAAGTGGTTGCTGAATACATTAATGTATAATTGATTCAACTTTCACACATTAAAATCACCACGTAAGGACGCTGTGGTGAACGACAGACCACATTTATGACAGTTAAGATTATAATGGAGGCCAGGTGTGGTAACCCATGTGTGTAATCCCAGCAATTTGTTTTTTTTTTTTTTTTTTGAGATGGAGTCTGGCGCTCTCGCCCAGGCTGGAGTGCAGTGGCCGGATCTCAGCTCACTGTAAGCTCTGCCTCCCGGGTTTACGCCATTCTCCTGCCTCAGCCTCCTGAGTAGCTGGGACTACAGGCGCCCGCCACCTCGCCCGGCTAGTTTTTTTGTATTTTTTAGTAGAGACGGGGTTTCACCGTGTTCGCCAGGATGGTCTCGATCTCCTGACCTCGTGATCCGCCCGTCTCGGCCTCCCAAAGTGCTGGGATTACAGGCTTGAGCCACCGCGCCCGGCCTAATCCCAGCAATTTGGGAGGCCAAGGTGGGCAGATCACTTTAGCCTAG